TCGCGCGTTTTGCGGACAGAACCGCAGCTTTCCCGGTGCTCTCCGGCCGCCGCCATTTCCGGAGCCGGTTGAACGGTGCCGTGGGTGCCCCTCTTCCCTCAGGCCTGTGCCCGTCCGGAAAAAGAGACCAACGGAGCACGCGGGAAGGAAAACCGGGGAGGAGGCAGGGGGGAGCGGGGCCCTGAAACGGCGGTGGGCTTGCAGGCAGCGGCCGTCCAGAGACGGCGACGCTCCGGTTCGCCCAGAGCTGCTTCCATCTTCTGCTCCTGTGTTTTCTGGCGCTTGAACCCGAAGCCAGCACTAAATCTGTAGGCAGTAAACGTGTAGGCAGTAAATATGCAGGCAGCAAATATGCAGGCAGCAAGCAACCAGAAATTTGTTTTTAATTTAGCCTGGAGAGGTGATAGGTTAGGATTACTTAACGATGCCCGCAAATAAAACTTTCAGGGTTCTTTGCGTGATTTTTACTAGCAAATTATATTCTGATGTAGAAAGACCACAAGCAGACAAGTATTTTTTCTGTCATGGAACAGTATGCTGACTTGGACAGTTCTTTACCTTGATCCAGGTACAAATCAGCACGTGGCCGCAGTTTTAACCTGCTTTCCTGCTAAAGCTCCTCTCCCACGGACAGACAGACCCTAGAGAAGAGCCCTGCGACTCGGGTTAAGGTAGTCATTCAAGAATTCTGTCATAATGCTGGGGGTGCCCAAAATAAACAGAAATTTTCAGGTTCTCGTGACTCCTTAATTTTACTCGTTGTATTTGAGAAAACAGCTTTCCCATCCCTACTTTCTTTACTGTTAAACCTGTGATTTCCAGCAAATGGGATACATTCTCCCACGGAACTGGATTTCTCTTTCCTTTCCTGCTGTACACGCTGGGATGGCAAAGTAAAATGACTAAACCAGCCTCCGCAGGCTGACGTCTTCACTTATTCTTGAAGTAGCAAAACTGGAGCTTGTTTTCAAGTATGTATTGTGCATCGATTGTTAGATGAAAGAATGTAAACCATCTTTACAAAATTAACGTCCTTCAGCGTGGAGTTATTTTCTCACTCGATGCAGTGACAGTTGTAAATGCCATTCTGTGCAGTAATATCATCTTTGTCTTGCTCAGCATTAACGCTGCGGTTAACCACCGATCCCACCAAGACAGCTCTTCTTCCTAAGGAATTACCAGGTAATTATCTCGCTTTGAATGCGTTGTGTCACTTATCGCAACCTAGAGCTCTTAGAGCATCTTTGTTAGGTATTGTCATTATTTTATTCTAAGAAAGGGGTATGAAGAAGGCCTTGAATGCCGACAGAGATGACAGATTTAACTCATTTACTTACCTTTTTGCCGCTATTTTTGCATCACAATTGCTCAAGTGTTTTCTTTTGGGTTCTTTCTCCTGTTGTAATCGAAGATGGCCGAGCAGTAGATACTAATGTATGATTGGGATGAAGCCGGAAACACTCGAGCACCTTCAGTCTCTGCATTATTCCAGTTTCTTCAAAATAATCACTGGGCAACCCTTGCTCTTACATCTAAAAGCTGCAGTCAAAATAGATGCCCTTTCCCAATAAAAGAATCTCTCCTCCTCAGGAGATGAATGAAATATCTTTACTTATAAAGTAAGGGTTTTTTTCTAAATGTCTCTCTGAAAAAACGGCAACGTAATTAATGGAATTTTTTTTTTTATGAGGCAAATGATGCTGCTTACCAGTAGTCAACTGTATGGCTGCAGAGCATTCTGACAGTTTGTCTGGATTACCTGTGCGCCTAGACTTTAAGCTCTTTGGGCAGGAACGATTCTCTCCCAGCGTAAGATACAGTAAACATAATAAAAAACTAAAAAATCCACTTCTGTCCCTGCAGAAAAAATGCTGAGAAGTCTGAAAGGACTTGTCTGCCATCCTCTCAAGGTAAGTCCTGTCACGGCGTGGTGCTGCTTCCAATATTTCAGCTGTCCTGTGAGCTGGAATGACAATTTACAACTGTAAAAAGTGAGATTCTTCTTACGTTCGTCATCTAAAAACTTGGTGTCTCCTATAAGCTGGCTGTGTAAACTCCCGATGTGGGCAAAGGAAAGCGAGACCGCTCGTGTGTGTTCCTCCTACATTTCTCTCCGCTGGCTGGAGGGAGAGAACGTGCAAGCAAGCCTGGATAGCTGGCTTAAATAAGACATTTGTTAGAAGACTAAAGTTGAGCATTCTAAAACGTCCAGAATGCTGAAATTCTGCATCTTCAGTGCAAGTGTTTCTCAGAAAACAGGGAATCTACTTGCTCTGCGCTGCTGGAAGGTAGAAAGGAAGAAGCCCTTTGTGCAGAACAGAGGCACCAGCCTTTCACAACGCCTGCGTTGCTGCTGGGAAGGTAATTTTGCCAAAGTTGGCTCAGTGCTTCAGGTGGGTGTAGTGATATTAGCTCTGCCACAACACCACCACAGCAGCACTACGTTAGCAGTAAAGCTTCCTTCTATTACAAACAGAAAACGAATTAACGTTGCGTATCTGGAATGACTTCCTAGCGGTAAAGAATTTCAGTTGTTTTGTTTGCTGTTGTCTTTTAAATGCTTTTTCCCTCGTCCATAGTGAAACGCAGCCATTGAAGAGGGTGGCTGTATAACTACTTGTTTCCAGAGACGAGATTCTGGTTGTGCAGTGCTGTACTTATGATGGCAGCCTTTATGAAATAAACAGTTCTTTTCCAGAGACTAAGATATGTGGAATCGTGTAGGAACAGCTCCACCTTATGGCACATGACTTTGTGATTAATCTCCCTGTACCACGTGATGGTTTGCTGCCATTTCAGGGATCTGAGTTAGATTACTCTGTCCTTTGGCAGATGGAAACTTACTATAAAATCCACTCTACGAGCAGAAACCGCATTAAAAGACGATGTGAAAACGCGAGAACCTTACGTACACGTTAGGATTTACGACGCAGAGCTCTACAGTGAGCCAGAAAGGTGTATGTGTACGTTTCTGGCATCCTGCGCGAAGCGAAGGGGATCAGTGCTAAGCCACTCTCTCCTGTTCGGGAGGAGGCACCACCAAGTGGCATGTTGCTACTATAAAGTCAGAGCATATAATGCATTAGCAGTGGTATGCTAGGTCACTCAAAGGTATTCTTGTAGCCTGTTAAAAATGCAGATGCACTTGTGCATGAATTTTGTAAATGGAAACGCAGTAATTCCTAAAATGCAAGCCCGTATCTCTCAAATTCAGGATAACTGTGAGTACTGTTGTATTCACTACTCGTGTTGTATTCGCTACAGCTTGCCTTGATTTTGTAGCACTTCAAAGAGTTAGGAAGGATTTCATCTCTCCAGGTACTTAGAAGCTGCTTCTAGAGCCCAGTACAAGCTGCAGTCCACAGAGGAAAAGTTCCAAAGCACTATGAGGCTAGGTGGAGATTTTGAGGGAGACATACCATGCTAAGGCTCCGAGAAGTGGTGTTCTAAACCGGTATCCTTCCAGGAGAAAGATGTAGTAATTTAAAGATGAGATATGTTCCGTTGATGGAAAAATAGAAATTCGATGTACTTGGCTGCAAGAACAGAGGACTGGACTTCAAGACCTATCCCTGTCACGCTTGCGTCCTGGCTTACTGTGCTGTCTCCTACTCCCTTCATGGGACTGGCTTTTGTACCACAGAGAATCCAACTCCTGCTGTTCTGAGATTGTGCTTTTAAAAAAGCGGTATTGCTAATCTTGGCTTGACTAAGTGTCATTCAACTAAAGTCTTGAGCTGAGGCTAGACACACATAGAAACTGAACGCGGTCAGAGCAAGAAGTTAATCCTTGCTTGGTTTTCGTTCACTGTTACGCCGGTCAGGGACAAGGATTTGTGTGGTACCCAGAGAAGGGATCTCCGCAGAGCAGTCAGCTTGCCTTCTCTACGGGAGCAAAGCTCACAGCCCCAAGACGTTCACTTGAGATTTTAGGAGGAGGGAATGCGGGACGCTCAAAGACAATGAGCGGGACTATGATTTCAGGCTAGAAGTGACCCAGGGCCGACATTTTCTAGGTGAAGAGGTGACAATAGTTGCTTGCTCTAGTTAGTCATATACTAAATTAGCATCTTAGTGCCTTGCTCTAGGCTGTAAATTAAGTCACTTCTTTGGACTTAAAACCAGACATAGCCAAATAAGACATCCTAACTGATCGTTTGGATTTGAGGAGGAAAAGAACGTTGTGGGAACAAGAGAAGTTGGTGGTAAAATGCGATGACAAAAGCGAATGTTTAGTGATCTTCCATATTGGCACTGCAGTAGTTTGTTCTGTAGGTATCTAGCGTTGAGTAGAAACCGGTTTAATTCCTTCCCTAAAAGAAGAGTGCTGAAATGCTGATTCAGGAGTCCGTTCCGTGTTTCACACAGGATGCGGGCTAATCCGACATTACGCTTTCTTCTGAGCCCTTGTGGCTTTCAGATGACCCTCCGAGGAAAACTGGGATGACAGCAGAATTGCATCATGCCATGGAGAACTGAAACAGCTGTTCCTGTCTCTAAACTTTAGTTTATGGCTGCTCTCATCTATGCAGACAGACAAAATAGGAAACTACTCGTTCTGTTTACAGCGGAGCCTGCAACTGTTCCAGTCAGTAATACGAAGGGTGGCTTTCAGTTTTGCTTGCTTTGGTCACAGCCTCTGTTTGGAGTATACATTTTTTTTTTTTTTTTTTAATTTGTTGACAAATGCTCATATTTTCTTTCACCGTAACATAATAAAATGCTTGTCCTTCTGCTACTCACTTTCTTGCCTATTTTAGCTAGGCTTTACAGGCACGCTTCAGCAGTCTGTCTACGGAAAAAAGAATTAATCAGCTTAGCTGGCTGTTTCAGTTTCTCAGCCACATCTGTATTGTAATGAAAGAGTCTGTATGCAGGGACACAGTTAGGAAAATCAGTGCAGGGACTGTAATTATAAATATCAAATAGTGGGCAGCACTGCACTAATCCCTCAATAATTGAGGTGATTATGGATTACTAGACAGCTTGAATTTTCAAGGTACTAGCTACTATTCAGCAGCGTAGGCAGAAACATTGTGGGAACTTCGCCGCACTAAGACCTTCACGGCTGTACTTGTGCTCTGAAGCAATCTCGAAGGGGATAACTCTTCCAGGTACAGGGCTGGGCTCTCTAGATGACTTAACGGAAATGGTTTAGAAGCAGGCATCTAAATGTGAAATATGGTTCTACAGCATGTGGTTTTTCATGAATTTACATTCTGATGATGAATTTTTATTCTAATTGCAGAGAATTCCATTCTGTATTGCATGCTACCTTGACCCGATCATAATGCGCATGCAGCGAGCGCACCAAACAAACTACTACCTGGATTTTTTACCGGTAATCTTTGACTGCTGAGAAGTTTGTTGTCCGTTTGCCTTTTTCTTTCCTTAGTTGGACCATGGGTATGCCCTCCATACGGCGGCCAAGGATTGCTTAAGTTCCGTTGTCGGCCAGGATGTCCAAACACTGGCGGAAAGACCAAGAACAGTTTTCTACACCAGCGAGAACGACCCGGTGAGTTACTGCCACAATTGTTCTCGTCAGACAGCAAGCGCCCGAGTTCCATCGGTCTGTCTGTGGATGCGCTGAAGCCAGGAGCGCTTTCTGGGATTGTGTTGTTCTAGTAAACGTAAAGGAAGGGAGGACCCAGGCCTGAGGAGAGGCGCCTGGACCACGGTCCCCAGCCCAAAGGAAAACAGGCCGCAGCTCTGCAGCGCACCTTCCTGGGTTTAAACAAGGCAGGGCTGGTCCTCTGCCTGAGAGCTCCTGGGACCAAGTATTGATTCCTTCTCTGTAGCTGCGTAGATGAGAGAGGCTGTGTGTTGTAGAAGCTCTGATGTGGCTTAGCGTGTCATCGGACACCATTAATTTCAACTCCAGGGTTATTCTTCCCTGACTAACCTCCCCAAATTGGCTATGAAGGGGGATAAAAAACACACCCCAGATGACCTCAGCACAGCACAGCTCTCCAGCATCATAATTCCAGCCTCATGCTCTCCGTCTCGAGCACAAAATGAAGTGGAATAAATGAATGGAATAAGCCTTTGAGGTGCTTTTCTGCTGCCTCTGTAATTGGAGTCTTTCAATACCGATTCCTCTGGGGTCTCTATGGAAACAGCAGCATGCAGATGATCTTACTCACGTGATGCGAGTGTCTCTATAGATTGCACAGAAGAGTCCAGATGGCAAGGATTGTCCCCACTGTCCTGTGCCTACCATTTATGTTGCCAGGCAACTGGCTTTGGCATTCTGACTTCACGTGCCTGATGTTTGGCGACAACCGCCATTGCTTATTAATTTATCCGATCAGCGTTCCTCAGGCTTGCTGGACTGCAGATCGCGTATTGCAGCAGAGAGGCTCCGCTGGCTCGCTTCGTCAGCAAACCCGATAGCTCTGACCGCACCCGTACTTCTGCACCATAAAGTCCCATTAAAAATGAATTAAGAAGACCAGATGAAAACTAAATTTTTAATAAGACTTAGCTTTTATATACCTTTCTGTTAGCAGAACTCAAAAGTGACTAAACGTGAGGATAAAGATACTGACCCACTTTACAGATGTAGGAGCTGAAGAGTGAAGGAATTTGCCCAAGGTTACGCAGCAAGTCAGTGATGAAACTGAGAATGAAAATGGTCTCTGGAGTACCGCTCTCCTGTTCGAGTCCGTAGGTAACGCCGCCGTGCAGAAACAGAGGTGCTGTTCGGCTGCGTCCAACACGTGCAGGAACACTCCAGGGAATCCAGCCCAGGGTTTGAAATACAGCTCCGCAGGGAAAAAGACTGAAGTCTCTCTTAGTAGTTCTCCTCTTTAGTCTGTCTCCAAGTAACATCTTACAGCAGAGGAGCTATTGACTAGCCAGGTTTTTTTAATTTTCTTCCTGTTGCTAAGATTGACTGACCAGTAAACACCACATTGGCAACCCAAGCAGCTTAGAGAACAGTTTGCTGAAGTTACCAAATGGTTTCTTCATATAAATAGTTTGGCAAACCTGTGGGTACCTCGATTCCTGCAGCTGTACCAAGGTAAACCATACAGTCCAGGACGCATTGACCTGTCCTCAGCAGGGGTGAAGTTACCGTGGGCTTTTCGGAGTGGAGCAGGGCGGGCAGAAGGTAGGAGAACCAGCATGTTGCATGCTGGAAGACTGAAAATCTGGCCTGAAGAAAGGGAGGGAGACTAACACGCAGCAAGAATCCTGGGGCTAGAGAATTCGTGGGTCTGCAGCAGTTGCGCACGAAGAGTCCATCAAAGAGCTGGGAAAAGCAAAATATTAATGGCAAAAGCAGGCAGTAGTCAGACCTGTAGGTACAGTTGCTCAGAGGGTTTCACGTGAGGAACGCAGCAGGCAGCCAGGTCAGGGGAGCAGTGCTCATCACAGCCTTTTTTTCCCCCATCCATTCATTCTGGTCCAAGCGTTTGTCAGCCAGACGGCACAGGTGAGCGACCAAGCCCACACCAGTATTGTCTCGTCTGTTCTGGGCCTCAGTAAATTAAGCCTTGGGTCTACACCAAAGCTAATAAGGAACACAAGGAAGGTCTGGATCAGCCCCCAAATCTGCTAAAGCTGGCAGAAATAATGCCTGCTGCTTTTTCTTTCTGAACAGTAAATGAAACTGCTTTACCTGGATCATTATTATGCAAAATAAAGACAACAAGGAACTTGTTATGTTCTGATTCCATTTCAACCAAAATGGAAGCAAGAGATTGGCACGCACAAGAATACAGAGGAGGATTTTTTGACTTTACATCCATGGAAAAGTGCAGAAAGTGCAGAGCAGGACATGATACAAGCTCTAAAGCTTGGCCTAAAGCTGCTAAAAAAGCCAGGCAAAGCTTGGCACAAAAATTGCTAAAAGTCACCCAGGACGTACTGCGTGCGTGGGTGTGTGTGTGGGGGTGTGGGGGTGTGTGTGGGGGTGTGTGTGTCTGTGTGTCTATGTGTCTGTCTGTGTCTGTGTGTGTGTCTGTGTGTGTCTGTGTACTGTCCTAATTACACAAGACGCAAAACCTGATGACTAGGCCAAGAGTAAACAAATAAGTGCTTTGCAAGTATTGCATGGTGGGAAAATGGAATAATGAAGGGAAAAAACCAAGGACACATAACAAGGCATGAAACGGGTATTAAATTTTCAGATAGCAGTCAGAGATCTTAAAGCAGTCACTAAATAAATGCAGAATGATGCAAGTCTGCTGGAGGAATATGACTGACCACTTATGTCACAACAAGGGACTTGAAATCAGTGCCTCAGAAAACAGATCAAAACCAGAGTTCTCCAGCAACCAGTACTAGTTAAAAAGGCACATGGCATATTAGGAATCACTACTGAGGGACATCAAAGAACAAACCAGAAAACAAAATTTTGTTGCAAACTTAAAGTAAATTTGAATCTATCAGATAAGCCAAAAGGGAATCATGTTACTGTTCAGGTATTGTGGCGACCAGAAGTACAGGTGGGCTAATAAAAGATTAGGTAAATTCATGAAGCATGAGGCCACCGGTGCCCACAAAACACAATGGTTCATATCCAGGCTCAAGGAATCCCTTTGTTGTTTATTGCCAGCTAGGATATTCTTTCTTTAGACTCCTCCTAAGCATCTGCCAGTACTGTCCTGATGCTACAATTCCTGCTTTACTTTAATATGCTCGTTCTTCTGACTCTCCGTAAGTAGATACTGGCTTTGATTCAGTGTTCCCTTCCCTCCCTGTATCCAGAAAAAAGGTGTCAGATTTTGCCGAGTGTTACAGTTTGCGTTTTGCCTTCCCAGGCCAACCACGCCGACCACCACGAGGGTCGCCATTACAGCATTCCACTTGAGGAGGTGAAAGCCGTGTTTCCCCATGGCCTGCCCTCTCGCTTCCAGCAGCAGGTACTTTGTCTTAGAGCGGATTTGTAGGGAGTGGATGAGCGGATTTGTAGGGAGTGGATGAGCGGATTTGTAGGGAGTGGATGGTACGCGGGAAGAACCGGATCCATCGCGTAACTACAATGCTTTCCTGTTGGAATAAGAGAGAGTGACATGCTGCAAGAATGCAATTATTCCTGGTCCTTACTGTTATTTTCTACATCTAAAAGATATCAGTTAACCAGAACAGCGGCAGAACAGTGTGAGGATTCCACCTTAGGCAACATTCTTTCCAATGTTTTTCATCTCTTAACTTCTAAGTACATAATAAATTACAGAAATGTTTTCCACAGTTACGTTTCTGTATGAAACAGGCTGTCTCACGAAGTAAGTTTATATCAGCAACAAAAAAATCTTCTTGATTTCTGTTGTGAGACGGATCATGCTGTGACTGGGTCGGGCTTTGTAAGCAGCTAATGTAGACTGCCTGCTTGAGTTTAGGAACAGATTTCTTGTCCGTGAGTTAGTAATTCCAGGTGGTTGACTTTCGATTCGTTGACAGGCTGGTTGTCCTCCCCTCCATCTCTGGGAAGGTGATGGAACAGCTAATCCTGGACACCGTTTCCAGGCACGCAAAGGAGAAAAGTCAGCAGGGGCAGTCAGCGTGGCTTCACCAAGGGGGAGTCATGCTTGACCAGGCTGATAGACTCCTGGGGTGATACGAGTGGCCTGGGAGACGAGGGGAGAGCAGTGGATGTTCAGACGCTGCATGGTACCAGTCGTGTCGCAAACAGCTCCCGGCTTCCCGTTCATGTTCTGTTCCTTTTCTCAGATTAAGACCTTCAATGAAGCCTGCCTGATGGTGCGAAAACCAGCTCTAGAACTTTTCGCTTACCTGAAGAGCTCCAACTTTGCCCACCCAGCTGTCAGATACGTGATCTGTATCTTTTTATCACTTACTTGATGGTAGAATACAAATTAAATGCAAGCAGGTGACTTTACACCGATGAGGGTGATGTTTTGATCCTGTGCTGACCACTGTGGTTTAGCCTTCAGGAGGTGGTTCTACCACGTCCGTTGTCAGCAAAGCTAGTTCGAGAAGTTCATGAACCCAGTATGCTTTTATTTTAAGCCAGATTTGGCTCGTGGCACAGATCCACAAACAGGGCTGTCGGCACAACTAAGGGAATGGGAATCATCGGCTCTGATACAGTGGGGTGGGAGGACATGGAGAGAAGGAGCTCTTTAGGCCAGGGTTGCTGCTGAACAAAAGCACGATGGAACGCCATCCCTGCTTTTACGACCTTTCAACTTCCTTTATGCCTTTTGCGAAAGAATTACCATCAAGTATAAGCTGAAGTGCTTTTTTTGGAGAATTTCCTTGACAGCCTGTGTTGGAGATGGTGAGAGAGGAACGGGGAAAACCATGACTCTGTGTCACGTGGTTCACTACTGTGCAAGGCAAGGCTGGCTGGTGCTGCACGTCCCAGATGGTAAGAACACCGATACGCTCCTACTCCATCAAATACCCGCTGCTCCGGAAGATGCTCCTTCGAGGGCAAGGTGTAGGGTAGGCCACAGCAAATTAGCTTTGGTTTTTCCATGGTGGAGAAGGCTTATAAAGCCCAACCCCCCAAAATAAAGTAGAACATAATTAGTTATTTTCACACGCTCTCGCATGGTTACAGTCAGTCTTTTCCCCTCCCAGTTATGAGTAGGACAGGAGACATACTGTGTGTGACCTCCTGCTCCCGAGGGAGAGTCTCGTCCATGAACGATGGCGGACTTCTCTTACCAGCGTAGGTATAAGGATAAGAGATACAAATGCACACCCCACCACTCAACTCGTACAACTATTTTGACTTTAAAAAAAAAAAAAAGCACCTGTTTTTCTTTTGCTTACAGCTCATCTCTGGGTGAAAAACTGCAGGGAGCTTATGCGGTCTTCCTATAAGAAAGAACGGCTTGATCAGCCTTTGCAAGCATCTTTCTGGCTCAAGAACTTCAAAACCTCAAATGAGCGCTTCCTGAAAGAGGTTTGTAGAGCCTGGCGAGTTGTTTTGGGTAGCCGCTAAGAACCACCCACAGGATCATCTCTCGGGGACTGCACGTGCTTCCTGGCAGCGAGCACCTTGACGCGAATTCGAGATTTGCTCATTTGCCAGAAATGCTTCATGTGTTAACGCACGCACTCACATTGCGTGCAAACCCTACCCTTCACTGGAATTCAATTTTGGTAGAAAAAGAAGTACTTTAAATCCCTGCTGTGGGATGGCTATTCGCGATGAATCCCAGGTTCTGCGCTAGTCTTTAACGCTGGCAACAGACCGGGGAATCCTGCCATCCAGAATTGCCAAGCTGCCTTTGCATGACTTAGTTCCCAGTTTAATCGTAATTCTCTTACTGCAGATAAAAACACAAAAAAAATATGTGTGGGGCAAACGAGAAAGCACGGAGGAGGGCAGACCGCTGGGTGAAGTGGTGGAGCAGGTAAGGAACAAGTGCTGCTGGCTTTGTCTCACCTTTTATTAGAAGATCCCATCATTGTGTGTGTGGAACAAATTACTTCTAAAGATCTTACAAACAACAGTTCTAGGAAATGGAAGGCATTTCCCTAGCAAGAAGGCGGCAAAATGTTGTGGAAGATGTAAAGGAAGCTGCACAGAGAACTTGGGTAGAAGCAAACATTAGAATTTGAAAGTTCCTACTTTGGTGCTCAGTACCTTAGACCAGATTGCTCCTTTGAAAGGAACGGATGGACTGGCGTTTTATCATCCTTCCCCCTTAGAAAGCGCAGACAGTGCCCAAAGTTGCCAGCGTTCTATATTAACAAGAAAACCAACCTGAGTTACATGCCTTTTCCTACTTCAAGGGTTTAGCTCGCGTGAGAAACGCCAGCGATGCTGTAGGGGTTGTGCTGAAAGAGATAAAGCAGCAATGTCGTCTCGGCTCATTCCGACTTCTTGTGGCAGTGGACGGTGTCAACGCGCTCTGGGGAAGGACTACGTTAAAGAAGGAAGACAAAAGCCCGGTAAGAAGTGATCTGCTCTGATGATGTTTCTGCATTCCTCCTGCGAGGGAGAGCAGGGGAGGGCGTTTTGTTCCTTTTTAAGTTCTATAGTAATCCCTGAAAGACGTATGTTTGGCTTTGCTAGCTTGGAGGGAAAAATGCATGCAAAAATGCAAAATTCATATGGTGTTTTAACTGGTTTTACTGATAAAAGTTCTCTCAGTAAGAAAAATGCATATATGTCTTGTTACGGTAGGAAAGGTTGGGACATTTCTCTGTGTAACATTACCAAGGCTGAATGCTACAGTGCTAAGTCAAAGCAAAGAAAAAAATGCGCCTAAACGATGCAAATGATCCTTCCAGGCTAATTTAAAGTAGGGGAGGGGAATTTCTGTCTCAGATAGAAACTGCTGGCAAAAAAAGTGACAGCGACAATCCTCACCAGGTTTCTCCAGAGGAGCTGACGCTCGTGTACAATCTAAGGAAGATGGTGATGAACGACTGGGTGAGTTCGGTCTGTCCCTCTGGGTGCGTTATTCTCAGCAATTAAAGCTCCGCGCCGATAAGCAGAGAGCTACAAACCTGACCTCGCGCTGTTCCTTCAGCAGAGGTGCGATTGTTAAGGGTTAGCATCTCGTCGGTGTTTCTGACATCACCCAAAGAACGTAAGCACAGGTCGAATATGTAACAATGCTTTTCCTGGTTACCGTGCCAAACTCCAGTTTGTGACTCGTGCTTCCCAAGCTAGAGGTAGTTAATAGCCCTTAATGACACTTTGGTTTATGATTTTTTGAACTAATGAGAACTTTCAGTTCCTAAAAAAACCGCTGTTTTTGCTATAGGAGGTCCACTCCTTCTGCTTCTTTTCCAGTCCCCTGGGTGCTAGTATCTCCAACAGGTGGCTGTCAGGTTTGGAAGCGTACAGAAAAGTCCTTTTTAAAGCAGTTCAGTTGTTTCAACTGAAAGCCATTTATAGGTGAGAACACCATGTTTCAGTGCCAGCACTGGAAGCATCAGCTGCGTGTTCCCTGTGCCGCACGTGTACGTGCAGTAGCCAGGGTTAATGCAGTCAGGGACATTTTAATATGTCAATTATATAGAATTTTGGAATTGAAGTAACTATAAGATCACAGAAGAAAATACCACAGTTGTTTAGACTGGATATTTCACAAATACTACGTTTGCAGCTAAAGGGTTTCTAATCTACTTGTCCTGTAGAGTGGAGGTGCTGTTGTGATGACCCTCAGCCAGACCGGCTCGCTCTTCAAACCCAGTTCTGCCTACCTGCCCCAGGAGCTGCTGGGAAAGGTGAGCATCGCCCCCTTCCTCCCCCCGCTTCACACTGGGAAACAAACACAAATCCTGGTTTGGGCACTGGGTGCAGTTGGGGGTGGCAGACTTTGCTTTGTAGAATCGTTAAGGTTGGAAAGGACCTCTGAGATCATCGAGTCCACCCGTGAACCCAACTGTCTGGTCCCCCTCTGAACCATGTCCCGAAGCACCACATCCACACGTCTTTTGAACACTTCCAGGGACTGTGATTGCACCCCTGCCCTGGGCAGCCTGGGCCAGGGCCTGACAGCCCTTTCCGGGAAGGAATTTTCCCTAATACCCAACCCAACCCTGCCCTGGCGCAGCTTGAGGCCGTTCCCTCTCGTCCCATCGCTTGTTCCTGGGGAGAAGAGACCGACCCCCCCGGCTCCAGCCTCCTTTCAGGCCGTTGCAGAGAGCGATGACCAGTGCCCAGCACAGGGGGACGATCCCTGCCCTGCTCCTGCTGGCCACACCGTTCCTGATACAAGCCAGGATGCCACTGGCCCTCTTGGCCACCTGGGCACACTGCTCTGCATCCTTGTTCTCCTTGGAAGTAACTGCCCGAGCTCGCAGGTGCCCAGCAGTGCCCTGGCCCAGCCCGCAGGGCTGGGGGCGGCCCGGCCGCGGCCCCTCACCCCCGCTGTCCTCCCCAGGAGGGCTTCGACGCCCTGGACCCCTTCGTCCCCATCCCGGTCCCCAACTACAGCCCGCGGGAGTTCGAGAGCTGCTACCGCTACTACCTCGATCGCAAGTGGCTGCAGCACGAGAAAGGTCAGCTCCGGGGACCGGGGGTCCCGGGGGTCCCGGGGCGGGGGTGCCCGCCGGAGCCCGCGGCCTCACCGCCCCCTCCGTCTTGCC